GAATCAGCTCCAACAGAAGTGCCAAGAAGAACCAGATGTCTTCCCTGATAGGAGCCCCAATATGTTAGGGGTCTCCCTCAGATGTTCTGGTGTTTTATAGCAACCACACAGCTTTCTCATCCTGACCTCGTTCAGTTCCACCCCTTGGAGTGAGGGGCATCACCTTACTTCTAGCAGTATAAGGCAGTGGGGCCCCCACCCACAGCAATTTCTAACTCAGCAGGTCTGGGAGAGGGCCAGGATCTAGGGAGGCTCTGATGCAGAGTCCACAGGCCACAATGGGAGAAATGCTGGTCTAAGGTAGCAGGTGATGGACTGAAGAACCGAGAGGGTGAGAGCTAGCCCAAAGTCACACTGATCACCCAAGTCAATCCCTACTATAATCATTCAACCCAGGTCTGAATCCCAACACTGCCACTTTCAGTCTGTGAAACTCTCAGCAAACTATTTACCCTCTGAGCCTCATCTGGAAGATGAAGGTAATGATACTATTTCATAAGATTACTATGAGGATGAATCATGCATGCTAAGTGCACAGTGCCTGACATGCTGATGGTGCTCAAGGCTCATTTGTGGATGTGGCGACTAGCTGTGGCCCACAATGATGCCACCTCCTCATGTTGGTACCGTGTGCTGTTCCCTTCTAAGCTGTATCGTGGTTTTGTGTAACTAAGAGAATAGAGCAGAGGAGACAGTATGTCACTTTCAAGATCAAGTTACAAAAGACACCGTGGCTTCCATCCTGTGTCTCCCTTCCTCTAATCACTTGCTTTGGGGGAAGCTGGCTGCCATACTGTGAGCACCCTGTGGGGAGGTCCATGAGGCAAGGATCTGAAACCTCCTGTTACCAGCCATGTGAATAAGCTTGGAAGTGAACCCTCCAGCCCTAGTCAAGCCTTTAGATGAATGCAGCCCAAGCTTGACTGCAACCTAGTCGGAGAGTCTGAGACAGAACTACCCAGCTAAGCCACTCCCAAATTCCTGACCCTCAGAAACAGTATGAGATAATGTTTGTTATGTTAAGTTGCTAAGTTTTGGGGTAATTTGTTATATAGCAATAACTAGTGAATACATTGGAATACATGAAAAAACTAAATCACTTTATGATCCATGATGGCTACAAACTGCCCCATATCCAAAAAAAAAAAAAATCACTCCTGAGTCAAGTCAAAGGAACCCCTCCACCCCCCAGTCACCCATACACAGCCCTAGAGTTCCACAGTTCCCTTTTTACTCATTCATTCTCCAGCCAAACATTTGCTGAGCACCTCCTCTCTGCCAAACTGGGGTTCACATTTCATGACACAAAGTCCCTGTCTCATAAGAAGGTGCATTTCTTTGCTGGGAGTGGCTGACAGATGTGCCCCAGTAACAGTTCTAGGTAACAAGCTCTGTGCCATGGGGCACCCAAGAAGGGTACCTGCAATCCAACAGAGAACTTCTCCAAGGAAATGATCAGAGATGATCTCAAAGATCTAGGTACCAAGGTGGTTGCTGCAGTGTAGCTCATCCTAAAACTGAAATCTAGATTTCCAACAGTATGAACTGACAGTTATCCATCCAGTGCTCACCACACAGCACAGCAGGCTGTGCAGAGTCCCAAGTGGGGTGGGGAGCGGAGGCTCAAGGGCATAATGTACAAAGCCTGTTATCCTCATCTTACCCACAGCTGGCCAGAAGCAGGAGTAGAGCATGAGCCATATCTGGTTAATGGAGTACTGTGCACAGCCATTAAAAATCAAGGCAAAAGGAATGATTCCTTTATATGGACAAATGTTCCTCCACATTGCCAAATAAAAATGACTCGTTACCACCACAGTATGTATACTACCACTTTTTTAAGGAGAAAGAACCTCCCACCCCAACACACACACATACAAAGACTACAGAAGATACAAAATATTTACTGTGGTTATGTCTGGATAATAGAATTCTGTGCAGGATTTTTTCCCCTTCATTTTGAGTTTTTCTATTTTTCTAAGTTTCTACATTTAGCATGTACTGTTTTTAAATTTCCCCAAAAATTTCCCTTAAAAAGAGGGAAATTTGTCAGGCAGGGATAAATCCTATTCCTTCTTCCTTAGGAGATACTATGGATGAACCAATGACCTGGTTCACCAGAATAAACCTTGAAAGGGATCTAAGGTAGACATTTCCCTCAGTCCCTGGCTAAAGGCTCACAGGGTACACCCTGATTCCACACAGACCTGGCCCTGTGAACGTCAGCTGAACCCAAATCGGGCTCCAGGGAGCTGCAGGCTGGAGACACAGTTTCTCATCAGATAGTTACAGGTCCCAGGAGGCTAGAGTTTCCAAATAGGGAAGGTAAAAATAGTCTGAAGGAGGCTCCTGAACCAGATATCCAGACTCAGAACTGCCTGTGCCTCCCCCCAGTCTGGGCTTCAAATACCATCTGACTCTCTGTTATCACCATCACTGCTGCCCAAGTCAGGTCTCACCTTCTTGCATCTGTACCAACCTCCCCAGTTTATGTACCCTGGGCATCATCAGATCAATCCTCTTAAAATGACTCCTGCTCAAATTTTTCCATGGCTCCCTGTGTGGAGTTTATTAAAAATGAAGTCTCCTGAATTCAGATCTCCAGAATTCTGACCCAGCAGATCTGGAGGGAGGCCAAGAAACCTGCATTTTAACCAGTGAGTCTAGCACCTGCTAGTAGGCACCTGCTAAGAAACAAAAACCTGGGGGAGCAAGCTTCTGCTCATTGTCCTCTCTATTCCCTGCATCCAAAGGGACAGTGACCCTGGGTAGACACAGCCCCCAATTTGTGTCACAAATTGGTGAGCTTGCTGAAATGGTAACCCCCATTTGATTGGCATGCTAATCGCAATTCATTAGAGAGAATAAAACTGTTTTCTTACTGGCTATGTGTTCTGTCACACTCCAGGAAAATTCAGAATTGAAAATAGAGGGAGTGGAATAAATCACTCATTGTACAGGGTGGGGGAAAGTAGGTTTACAGTTGTTCGTATGAAAAAGAATACAATTAATAAATAATAATACAAGAAAAAACTCTGTGTCATGTACTCACAACTGTAAACCTACTTTTGCCCTGCCTGTATTTATGTTCCTTCCTGAATTTTATAATAATCAGTGTATACTTGGTATTTAAAAGTATCAGTAACATTGGAAAGAATTTGACATGTTGAGTATATAACAGATAAGCAATGTAATTCCAACTTAACATATAAAAGCTAAAATATATAGTTAGGTAATTGATAAAATATATGAGAGTAATTGGTATTAGACTTGTGATTTTAAGTTGTGAGGTTAGCAATGACTTGCTACATATTAGGATCACCTGGGATGCTATAAAAGATACTAAAGGTGCCCCCCATAACCTAATTTAATATCAGAGATATATTTTTTTAGTTCCCCAGACTGAGAACCAGTGACATAAAAGAATTTGATTATCTATTAAAAGTACTGAACTATTTACAAGACCTTAAAATTTATTGTTTATAAGTTTAATTTATTAGATTTCCTAGTAACTGTTTAAGTCTTCTGGGGAAATTATGCTTGTCAGGTTATGTATCTGAAATACTTAAAAAGAAAATCAAATATATTACATTTATAAGTGGAATTAAATGTGTAAGGGAATGCAATTAGGCTGTTAATAGGGCTGAGTGTTTAAAGGAATTTAGTTTGTTCAACATTACTCCAAGGAAAAGTTAATTTCACTTTTCTTATTTTTTTCTAGGTTTATGTATAGAATAATAATTTCTAAGTTGAATTTGATGGCTTACAGAAAATTTGGTTTTTAAAAATTGTTGCTTCAGCCCTGGTCAGTGTGGCTCAATGGTTAGAGTGCCAGCAGGTTCGGTTCCTGATCAAGGGCATGTACCTGGATTGCAGGTTTGATCCTGGCCCTGGTTGGGGCCCCTGCGGGAGGCAGTCAATCAATGTTTCTCTCTCTCTCTCTCTAAAAAAATCAATGGAAAAAATATCCTCAGGTGAGGATAAACAAAACAAAACAAAATTGTTGCTCCAAAGAGAATTAACTAAAAAGACAAAAATAAAACAAGCCACAACATAACTCTCTGTGGTCTTCCCCACCCATCCCACAGAAATAATTCTTTCTCCTCTGAACTTCCCATCAGCCAGATTTGTTGTTAGCAACACATAAGAATTCTTTCCCAGAAGCTTCACAACTTACTATCCCAAGGGGCTACTAGGATGCTTTGCAAACAGAGAATAACCATAGTAAGGATAACTCATCAGGGATGTAGAGCATTTCACACTTTTCCTCCCAGTCCCCTAAGCAGGCATTACTGCTGAGTTCCCTGCGCATGGCCCAGAGAAGGTGCTCATAAAATATTTGTTGCCCTGGACGGGTAGCTCAGTTGGAGTGTCGTCCAGTACGCCAAAAACTTTCGGGTTCGATTCCCATTCAGAGCACATACCTAGATTGCAGGTTCGATCCCAGGTTGGGGCGCGTGCGGAAACATCTCTCACATCGATGTTTCTCTCTCTCTCCCTTCCTCTCGCTCTAAAAATCAATTTCAAAAAACATCCTCGGGAGAGGATAAATAAATAAATAGACAAATAAGACATTTGGTGACGGCCCTAGTACTCCAAAGCCCTTGCTCTTTCTATTCCCAAGTAGTAATGATGGTGTGAGTTCTCCTGCCTTGCAGGCCAGGATTCTCAGCTATGAAGCCCAGAGATGAGGGAAAGTGAAAGCACGGCCAGAAGAACCCCTCTTTCCCTGAAGCTGGGAAGAGGGGTTCAGCCCCCAGAACCTGACTTTTTGCCACAGACTGAAACTTGAGCCCTGAACTTGAAACTGATAGAGGAGACCGGGATAGCGACGAGCTGGGGACCGGACGCCCGGCCCCCTCGCTCCTGTATCTACTCCCCATCCTGTTAAATGGTGCGTCCCACCGCGAGGAGCTCGGACTTAGAAAGAAGAGCGCAAGTCCTCCCGTGAGGGAAAGGAAGCTAAGACTCGACCCTCGACGTCCCGCCAAAGAAGGTACCTGGCTATGTCGGGCAGTAAGGCTCTGAGTTCCTCCTCCTGCGCTCTTGCGTCGCGAACTGCTTGCTGGGATTCGTAGTCCTTCCTCGGGCATCGGTTCTCCCTTCCCAGAAACCTTTGGTCGTTAAAGCTGAGACACCGCAAGGGGAGGTGGAGGAAGCGCGAGGGCTTCTGGGTGTTGTAGTTCGAAATATTCAATCTGCAAGAAATGCTTGAGGAGTAAAATTGTGTAATAAACCTTACCAAGCAATTTGAGCTGCCTCGATATGAATCTTATGTGACCTTTTTCCCGTGCAAGCCATCAGTTACCTCCGTGATTCAAAACGACGAGCACCGAGACTCAGAGGGACTACATATTCCATGAAGTGTCGCACGTGGAAGGCCTTTGGGGAGCGAGGTCGGCCGCGGCGCAGGCGCGCTGTCACTACTTCTGCAGTGGAGAAACATGGCGGCTCCGACGATAGGTGGGAGGTTGTACTCCCTTCTGTTCCGCAGAACCTCTACCTTTGCCCTTACCATCGCCGTGGGCGCCCTGTTCTTCGAGCGCGCCTTCGATCAAGGCGCGGACGCGATCTACGAGAACATCAACCAGGGGGTGAGGGCCTAGGCCATCCCTGACCTTGGGCCCACCTGAGGGGTGACTGGGAATGGCTTTGCCGTGGGACTCGATAGACCTTTGCGAGGAAGAGGGGTAAACCCTGGGCGTTTTCTGTCTATAGATTGCCATATGTGCTTTCCGCCCGGTGTGAATCCTAAAACGTTAAAACGAGGTCAATAGATCCCACTTTACAGGGGTTCTAAATATTGCGATCTCCCACTTTTCCACTTGCAGAAGCAAAAACTAAAGCCTAGCGAGAGCGAAGGACTTACTAGGGCTGCACCAGCAGGAAGTCAGTGGCAAGTCAGGGCTGGAACCTGGATCCCCTTCTCAGGGGGTTTTCAAGGGCAAATTTCAGCTGTCGAACGATCGCGGAAAAGGACGTCTCCTTAGACATTGTGGCTGCCTTTTCAGAGGACGCTTTGGGTTACCAGGGCTTTCCACGCACGCAGCGTGGTATTAATTACGGTTAAGAGTGGGGGCCGTGAAATCAGACAGTCCTGGATGGAAATACTGGGCCTCGTGTCTTAATAACTGTAACGTTCAGTTGGGCAAGTTTCTTAACATATCTGAGCTTCACTTTTATCTGTGAAACAGAAATGATGATAGTAACAACCTCGGAATTATTGTATTATTTGAGATACAGGCGAGATGCCACAGTGCCTGCTAGGTGGTACCACTCAGAAAATAACATTTGTATACCCAGGTTGCGGGTTCATTCCCTGGTTAGCATGCATGCATGTGGGAGGAAACCGATGGATGTTTCTCTCTCCCTTTCCCTTCCTCTCTCACTAAAAAAAAAAAAAATCAATAAAAATATGCCCTCTGGTGAGGATTAAAAAAAGGAAAAGAAAAGAACATTTGTTACATTCCTCAGGAGAAAGTGGAAGCATAAGGTAGGGAATAACATCTTTTAGAGTCATTGTGTGGCAGGCACTGTGCTAGGTGCTGTGCATGCTTTATATCATTAAATTGTGGCTCATACTAGGGAAGATCTTTTGCAGATAGCCCTGTTCCACCATTCACTCTTGTTTTTAATTATAGCTGCTTGACTGTATAGCCCAGGCAGGCTGTGTTCACTAATGCTGTGTTGCCAGTGGCCAAGGCAACTTTCCCAATGTTTGGGAAAGGCATCTAAGTGTGTTGTCACAACTTCTGTGTTTTTAGGAATGAGAACCCAGCTAATTCCTGACCTAAGAATCTTAGGTCCAAGGAAATTAAGAATGGTTCAATGTTAAGTATTTTGGGGCTCTATATTTAGGACCTCTTAAGAAATACCTGGAAGTTGAAGAAATAAGCCGTCTTCCAGGCTCTGTTCTGTAATAATTGTGTGCTTTGGGGCGGATCCCTCAATTTCTGTACGTAAGTTTTCTGTAAAAGTAATATTTCTTTCCATTTCCCATGGTGATGGAGAAAATTGAAGCTTTATTTTTTTTAAATTCTCACTCGAGGGTATGTTTTTATTGATTTTAGAGAGAGAGAGAGAGAAACATCGATGTGAGATAGAAACATTGATTGGTTGCTTCCTGTACACACCCCAACTGGGAATCGAACCCTCGACCTTTGGTTTACGGGATGACACTCCAAACAATTGAGCCACACAAGCCAGGGCTCAAAACATTTTATAAACATTCGGAGTGCACAGCAAGCCCGATGTTGCTTCTGCTTTGCCCACCACAACTGTCAGGATGTGGTAAAAGTTTCTCTCAAGTTTGTTTTAGAGACCAGAGCAGTGGGGGTATAGTTGTAAAATGTGAGAGGCAAAACTAAAAGTGTGTGGCTCTTGTCTTTAAAATGCAGAAGCTGTGGAAACACATCAAGCACAAGTATGAGAACTAGTTCCTCGGAGGCTCCCATCAAGGTCAGATGGACCACGTCCACCCACCAGCTGTTTGCCCAGAGCCAAGGCTTCAGTTGGAGATGATGCTCACGTCACTGTCCATGGACCATCTTTAGCTGTTGTTATGAAATGGCTTCACCTGACAGACTCTTTAACTTCTGCTGTATTTGAAGTATGTGTAGTCAGAGACATCAGCAAATAAATGTAAACCGTCCTTGAGACCTGCTTCTGCATTGGTGCTTTATTAACTCGACCTGATTGTCACTTGTCAGTTATTTGAGACCACCTCAAAGTCCTCTGCAAACATCAGAAGGGCAGATTCCATTATTTTGGGTTTCCCATTAACTTCCAACAAATTCTGGTTTTCAAAACATGAGCTAGAGTTGGAGATGTTACCTTCAACTTTGTCTTCTAAACTGATAATTCCATTCTTAAACCATGTAGAGGGGAGCTAACTGGCTTGGCCATGGGGAAGCTCTATGGCCTCAGCTGGGGGGAAAAACCCTGGCCTGAGCATGTTGAGCCACCCCAGTCTCCATTCTACCTTTAACTTGCTGAGTGTCTTTGGGTAAGCTGCCATGCATAGCCCATTTTCTGATGATTAAGTTGGGCCAGAACTCTAAGCCTCCTGCTAGAGTTCTGCTCTCTAATGAGTTTGATTTACCATGGTACTCACGGGTTTGAATCCTTACTCCACCAGTTCTAGCTGTGTGAACCAAGGGCAAGGCATTTGATCTTGCTGAGCTTCAGTTTCCTGGTCGGTAAAATGGGGGTAATAGAAGAACCTTCTGTGTGCCGGTTTTTGTATTAAAGGAGTTATTATTGCAGGTAACACAGTCATAGTTGATGGCACACAGAGGTAACTGCTGGCAGAGATGTTGGGGGATACTTAAGAACTCAGAGAACCAGAAGATTCTTCTGGAAGGCTTTGGAACAAGAGAAATATGAGGAAAAGGGGTTCAAAGAACATATTTTGGTCACCCAGTCAACAAACATAAGGGCGACCACTGTGTGAGGCACTGAGCCAGGTGCTGGGCACGTGGTGGTAAATAGAACATGGGGTTTGAACTACGGGAGCACTAAAGGTCATCACGTGTATGTATATATCACAGACTGGGCCAAGGGTTCTGGGGAAACAGTGCAAGGAGACAATAACCAGGAGTGACAGGGTAGAGGGAAGCCTCAGAAGAGGTAACATTGGTGATAAAGATGAGTCACTTAAGTCAGGAGTTGGAGGCAAAGCAGAGGAAGTAGCAGGTTCGAAGGTGCAAAGTGGAAAAGCACTCGCTGTATTTGAGAAACTGAAAGGCCTGGGTAGCTGTGAGGGGTTGAAGGGGGGAAGTAAACAGGACCAGGTCATTCAGGACCTGGTGAATCACAGTGAATAACTTGGATTCTACCAAAATTATAATGAGTTGCTACTGAAAAATTATTAAGCAAGGGAACAAGCTCTGTCTTGTTATAAAAACATTATTCTGGCAGCTCTGGGCGATTAGGGAGGGAGTGATAGAGGGGGTCAGATACTGTGTGGTCTTGTAGGCCATGCTAAAAGAGTTTGAATTTCATTCTAAGAAAGGGAAGACTGGAGGGTTTCTGATCAATCGCTTACATTTGTCAACTTCTTAATATAAGCCAGGCATTGTATTAAGTGCTTTGCAATGATGTGTCATTTAATGTAAACACGTAATAATCCAATAATCCATATTATTATTACCGTTGAATAGCTCTAGTGAAGTGTAAAGGGCACTGATTTTAGAAGGTTCAGTGCTGGGTTAGAATTCAAGCGCCACTACTCCCTGGCGGTGTGAACTCAAGCGAGTTACTTACCTTCTCTGAGCCAGTTTCCTCATCTGTAAAGTACCCACTGTGAGATTGCACAATGGCAGCTATGATTCTTGTTATTTCTGGAGATGTCATCTTGGAGGGGTGTCAAAGGGAGTAAGGATCACTATACAGTAAATCTTCACCCAGCTGACCGCTTAATTAACCCAGCCAGGGGCTACCCAGGAAGCTTCTGGTCCTCCAGGGCTGCCTGCCAAGGCTCAGAACTTCTCAGCTCTGGGTGGAGTCCAAGTTGTCCTGGCAGCTCAAAGGAAAAAGGAAAGCCCAGCCCTCAGAAAATTCTAGGCTTGTCCCTGGTGACAAAAGGATGCTGCCTATCAAAGGCTGGGCTCTGTGGGAAACAGACTTTTTAGTGCACAGGAGCTTTATTAGGAAGTGCCCTTGGGTCAGCGAAGGAAGGGAAGGAAGCAGGACTGGCAGAGGGAGAAGTCAGATGCAGACACAGTCTCAGCGGAGGCCTCTGCTGACCCTAGACCTCGGGGAGTTCTGAGAATGGGATGACCTTCCTGAGCTGTCCTGAGCAGGGTGAGAGGGCAGCCCTTACTGCCCCATAGATCACCACTGAGGCTGCTGCCTAGGAAGGAGGCAGCTGGGCAGGGCAGTTCTTGGCATGGCCAACCCCTGACCGGGCTGAGAGCTGAGGCCGTTGGCTGAGAGCACTTCCAGCATCTCACTCTGCGGGGGATCTGGGCACTGAATCTGAGCATCCACCCCACCCCTCTACATCTTTCTCAGGTCCACAAGAATGGATTTGCAAAACGAAAATAAGTAGATATGCTTTTATTCATTAAACTCTTGAATGGTTTTTATTATTGTAATACCTGGTGTGAGCAAAGAGATGTGGGCCGATCATTCTCAAATCCTGCTGGTGGGAAGGCCAGTTCAACAGTCAAAAAAACTTGACTCAAAGATTCTATTTCTAACATTTACCCTGAGAAAATAATCATGGTTGTGGATGAACATTTAGCCAGGGGGCTGTTCATCATAGTTTAGTAGCACATATGAGAAGCAACCTAAGTGCACAACTACAGGGCACCGGCTGACTGAAGCACAGTACAAGAGGATACTATTAGGCCGTTAAAAATAATGAAGATGAGAAATGGAAAAATGTCCACAAAGTCTTATTAACTGAAAAAAGTGGCGATAACAGCATGTGTCCGTCGTCCCGCTTTTTTGTGGAAAACCAATATGTATAGTCCTTTTTCTAAAATAACGCTAGAAGAAAACTAAAATCCTAATAGTAATTATTTCCAGATGGTAGGATTATGGGGATTTTCTTCTTTATTGTCTGAGCCACACTGAGCATATTACTGCTTTTGGAATAAGGGGGGGAAAGCAATGTAAGTTATTAAAAATAAATAGATTCCATCCTGTAACTAGCCAGCCCTTCCAATTAGGAGGAACAAGGACTGTCCTACAAGTGAGTCTGAAGTCTTCTGAAGAAAGGACAGAAATCAATGAATTTAAACTGTCTTGAGCAATATGCAAAGTTGGAGGGAATGCAAATTCCTCAGGCAAGATGAACGTTATGGCAGCTGCTTGAGTGTTAGCAAAGGACGATCACTCTGTACCAGGGGCAGGCACCGGTCCACAGGAGAGAACACACACACACACACACACACACACACACACAAATAGCTGCCTTCTCTGGACACTCACCCAGGGCCAGGCCTGGGCTGGGTGCCATTAACATGCCCTGTGTCTTTATTCCGAGGTGTCACTAATCTCCACCCCATTTTACAGGTGACAATGAGGCTCAAAGGTTAAGCGTCTTGCCCAGGGTAACACAACTAGTGAGAGTGGAGCAGGACAGCTGGCTTGAGGCTACACTCATATACACTGCTCCAACCGTGTAAAAATCATTTTTCTCTTTTCATTGGGGCTTCAGCCTGATATGCTTGGGTTTATACACAGACTGAATGTCAAGGGCAGACTCCAGCCAACATCAAGGACAAGGCAATGATGAAATGCAGAGGAAGTGTTGGCTACGAGCCGCTCTGTTGACAGTCTGCATACAGGGGTGCTGACTGTTTTCCTGTTGCCCTGGCCTGTCCTTAGGACTCGTGCATAGAACCTTTCTAGACTGCTCTGGGCTCTTCCTCTTCACTGCATCCTTGGAAGGCTGCTAGATCAATGCCTCTGCTCAAACATCTTTAATGGCTCCCCACTACCTGCAAGATCAAGTGCAAATTCCTTAGCCTACATTTAAAAACCAGGCCACTTCTAACTTCATAAACCTTCCAAATAGGGCCATTGCTATGGATCCCTTTGCTCTCCGTCTTGTGCCTAGGCATGGATTGTGGACACAGAACATGCCTGAATTTGAACGTTAGTTCTGCTGTTCTCCAACCAAGTGACCCTGGGTGAGTTGCCCCCTCTCTGTGAGCCTTGGTTTCCCCATGTGGAAAACAGGATAATGATAAGAATAATTCACAGGGTGGTTGGAAAGATATGTGAGATAATGCTTGTGATGTGCTCAGCACAGGCTTATTAGCTAATGTCTGCAGCGAGTAAATTAACAGGGGCTCCCTGCTCAGTCTTCAGAGGCCAGTGCCTAATTAGCATATTCAATCCACAAAATGCAAACTGAGAGCTTTGGGGTGACTGTACAGCAGAATCATCCAGGTGGCCCCCACCCCACGCCCCTGCTGCTTTAAAACCATGTTCCCCGGCATCCTCCCATCCCTCTGAGGCCCAGTCACTTTCTTGTGATCCCCTTCGTGTCCCTTGACAATCTCATTTCAGCATCTTTAACACTGTTTGAAACCCCAGCAGCCATGTGTCATCCTCAGGCAGCCCTTATCTCTTCCCCACACCTTTCACCGTGTAACGGACGCCTGTCTGCTCTACCTTCCTGATGTCAAGCAGGCTTCTGTCTCCTCCTGTATAGGCCTCCAGCAGAGAGGCCCTTCCTGCCCTAGGACTGCAAGTCCCTGTGACTCCTTATCTCCGTGGCTCACTAAGTTTTCCTAATGAAACACCTTCACGCTGGGCCCTCCAAGGGACAACCCTTCCTCCTGCCGGCGGACACGGGAGACTGGCAAAGTGGAGATTTGGAAAAAACGTTCTGCTCAGCTTCCTACTCTCCTCTTTTCCCCTGTCCCTCTGTTAGTGGAATCACTTGCTTATACCTCGTATCAACAGGAGTATGGTGCTTAGAGCAAAGAAGGTGATACGCCCTCTTTTCCATTCTTAGTCAACCACATGTGGAGTATTATGGCTTCTGGTTCAAGTGCCCAGCTATAGGGAGGCAGGAAAGCCAAGGGGCTGAAAATAAAAACTTTAGAGACTGGCAAACCCTGGGTTTGAATCCTAACTCAGTCACAAGCAAGTGATTGAACTGCTAAATCACACCTATTATCTGTCTTTGTTTCAAGGATTCA